AAATATATTTTTCCTGTATTGTCTCCAACTTATCATAAAACATGCAGCTGGTTTCTTCTAGTATTGTATTTTTTTTCCCACCAAAAAAATATTCTCACCTCGTTGTTTAGGTAGACTTTTCGAAGATATTCAGTCACCTCAGGCTTCAGGGAAATTCTTGGAAAGACCGGCATTTCTCCTGAGTTCAGCAAAACCTGAGCGTGTTCAAAGAATAACTGAAAGTAAACAAAAAAGCAGGGTTGACAGAATATTGGATTTTAGATACATACTAGTCTTTTGATAAGACTTMCACTGAATTTAGACTAGATCTTTACAGGCATAGTTTTAATATGAAAAATATTTAAATAGCTAATAATAACATCTTCGTTGTATTCAGTGAATACATCTTATCCTGCTGTTTACTTTAAAAAGCACAACTTCCTTGAATAACATTTGTTTACATTAAATCAATCAAATTAATAAAACGTTTTCGTTTTGACTTAACACGTTTTCTTACACGTTTAACTGTACGTTTAAAATGTTTTGTTTTTATAAAAGAATGAYGTTTTTCGTCTGGAAGTACTTACAGCACGTTACAGCTTTGGTTGCTGCTATTAGCGCTACTATTTCCGCATACGTCACTGCGTAGGTCACATGACACATGAACGAAGGCTCGAGGATTTTTAACCCCCTTTATATACCTTTTATAAAGGTTTTAATGGGTTTTTTATATATAGAAATGTACACTTTACAAAATACTTAACTAAGTTTTTTTTTTCATTCGGTTAATTTTTTTCAGTTCATGCCTAATATAATTCTTCGTACAAAAATGTGTTTAGCCAAAAAAGAAAAAACGCAGAGTGCAATGGTCTGGTGGCAGTTTTATTTATTTATTTATTTATTTATTTGTTTGTTTGTTTGTTTGTTTGTTTGTAAACAAACATCGTGTTTCTTTTTTATGCCAAACAAAAAAAAATCTAAAAGAATTTTTAAAGAACATAATCAACAAAACAAAAATGTATAAATAGCAYGCACCTTTAAAAAGGAAATACAATTCCAAACTTTAGTAAAAAGTGKTAAAATAAAATTGACGCAAATGTCTGACGTCATCACGTAACCGGAGGATACTCAGGATGGGATTACTTTTTCCAGTGATAGCAGCTAACGGGCACGAGTTGTTGTCAGCTGTGTGGACTCGTCGCTGGGCTGAACGGACGGCTTGTCTCAGTCAGTAGTCGGTAATTAGTCACCCCCCAACTATTGTTGTCCTTGGCGTCAGGTTCGTATTATCCGGTACCGGGCCGTATGGAGTCTTCGTTTAAATCTTTGGGTTGGTGCTCTTCTTCTGGCAAGAAAACGTCCAGCTAATGTTAGCTCGCCGAAGCCTTCCACGGACGGCGTGTGGACGAAGGAGCGGAGAAGCTCAGAGCTGCTGGCCGCTCTACTGACGGGGACATAGGCTCGTTTCAACCCGAACAATGGGCCTAATATTCGCCAAACTGTGGAGCTTCTTTTGTAACCAAGGTGGGTGTCGTGACAAAAATTTATTTATTTATTTATTTAATTAATTATTACAGCTGACGAACCTCCCGCTGCTGAAGCGGGGATAATGTGAACTGTTAGCACAAAGTGAGCAGCCGAGCCACAACAACAGATGGTGAGGGTGAATTATGTCACTACTACATCTCTTTGAATCTACTCTGCTCTTCGGAGTCTTTGTTCAACTCTTCRTCGCAAAACAACAATCGCAACTCTTAATTTATTAATTGCATCTAGMCACTGTAGTAGCTAATCTGGTTTAGTGTATAAACCAGATCAACTACTTMATACGAAAGTTTATCCATTTTGTTAATCAGGACACAGCTCATTGTCTAACTACGWGTAAAATTTCTCAAAGTTTGTTTGCTCTATTATTAGCTCACCTAGATCATATTTTGTGTCGGTGTTGTGCTGTCATATTCTGTATGAATTACGGTGCTTTTACAGCTTTACAATAAAAAGAAAAAAAAGTATCTGCTCTCATTCTGAATGTGACCCTAACCCAGTGTCAAGTTTTACTCGTATAAAGGGATTACATAGTGGTCTGAGTAGAAACTAAACACTTTAATTAGATTAGCAGAAATCTAGCTAAGGTGTACTGGTAATTTTATAGCCATACATGCGTGACTTTTTTTTTTTTTTTTAGCACAAGTGCATCTCTTTTAGCCAAACATAAAAAAATGGCCTTAAATGTGAATGTAGCAATCTGCTCGTGATCTTATTTTAGTGTCATTTCCACATTTGTATCTGGATGGACTGCTTGTGATCGACACACGATAGCCCCCTTTTTCAGGAAGCAATACACAAAGCACATCCTCAAAAAAAGTCAGCATAGTTCACCCCAACAGAGCCCCCTGACCAGACTTCCTTCCCCCCGCTCAGACCTCACAAGGCCAGRGAACTTCTGAACCTTTGTTCCAAAGGTTTTAACTTGTATGTGTCAAGTCACACACTTCATTCAGTCTGCCACATTGTCTGCTTCACAGCTGCTTTTAAAATCCTCCCTTCTGTCCCATGTGGTTTTCTGATGGTCAGGAAGTTCTTCTATGATTATATTTAAAACCTGCTGCATATGTGACAAAAAGGTTTTGTATAGACTGTAAACAGTTTGATTTTGTACTCGCTGTTCAGTGTTTTTACARTCAACAGTACATTCAGTGTTTTTCTGCTTATCATAAAAAGTCCAACGTAACAAACCCTTTGTATTGCAGAGCACAAGGTGATCATTGTAGGACTGGACAACGCAGGAAAAACCACTATACTCTACCAGTTGTGAGTGYAGTTTTTGTTTGAAAATACAGTCTCTTAAACATTTTTATTTCCCTGCTYCTGAACACATTTACCCGGTTTACTGTAATCGTTTTAGTCTGATGAACGAGGTGGTGCACACGTCACCCACCATCGGCAGCAACGTGGAAGAGATCGTGGTGAAGAACACCCACTTCCTGATGTGGGACATAGGGGGACAGGAGTCCCTCAGGTCCTCCTGGAATACCTACTACTCCAACACGGAGGTGAGATTCATGCTATTGTTTTACGCTTCTCGCGAGCGCCTTTTCTTTTCCTCCTGAGAGCGGCAGCTGGCGCGTTTGCACTCACGGCAGCTGGGCCCGCCCAGGTCAGAGAGGTCAAAGCCTTCACAAAGACGCTCGTCAGAGGCGCAAAGTTGAGTTCAGCTGGCTTTTGAAAATATGAGGGTAAAAGCAGAACAGAAAACTGTGAGAACRTCAACGTTGTTCACCACGGAACCACAGAAATGTAACCGCAACCCTGCGCGTGATGTGGAATATTCAGATAACTCATTATTCAAGACGGAGACTTATATGCTACCAAGCTTTCATCTGTTTTCTCCTGATTTATTATAAGTTGGTTTTATTTAGGGGTKTCCTGATACCAGTTTTTCTCAAACCGAGWATGAGTTTGGGTACTCACCGATACAGAGTACTTACTGAATTTAGAGGATGCTTACAAAAACACATTTCTCTTACTTAGAACCTGGTATTAAATCAGATACATATCTGTTGTTCGTCGAAGCAACTTTAACAATCATGTCGTATTTCATCCAATTTGTCTTCTGCTCTACAGTTCATCATTCTGGTGGTTGACAGCACAGACAGAGAGAGACTGGCYATCTCCAAAGAGGAGCTCTACCGAATGCTAGCTCATGAGGTGAAACTCATTTGAACACTTSAGTGAGGAAGCGAGCCGCACGCTGGCCAAGAATAGCCGTTGATGTAGCTATGCAGCCACATTGTTTCTAACGTGTRTTTCATTAGATGTGTAAGAGTTATYTTATTGTGTTCATTGTTCTCCATATTCTACCTCAGGACCTGCGCAAAGCAGCGGTGTTGATATTTGCCAATAAACAGGACATGAAGGACTGCATGTCTGCAGCAGAGATTTCCAAATACCTCACCCTGAGCKCCATTAAAGACCACCCCTGGCACATACAATCCTGCTGTGCTCTTACAGGAGAGGGGTAAGGGAAATCTGCTACRTTTGCAAAAACGGACCAAGTCAKAGGACTGAGAGCATTTAATTTATTTAAACATTAGATGAGGTTTCATTCAAATATGCTGTCATACTGTCAACACTGAGTCAAAGTAAATGTATATACTGTATATAGAGAGATGTTTCGAACTGCTCGCTCTGTTGTCAGAAAATGCTGAGTTGTAAAGAAGAAATGTAGGGTTTTTTTAATAGTTGTTCATTGTGCCAACATGCATTGTTTGTTATATTACTATAAACATAGAAGTCTTAAAATTTTGTGTATCCACCTTATTCCTAGACCCCAYGATGCCWTGCGTGAATTATGAGAGCAATGTTCGGGGCAAACCAGAACCGGTTTTTGTTTTTTTTGCTAACAGTACGAGCTAACATCGTTTTTTATGAGCAYTGTAGATGTAAAAAATGTGGGAACACTTACTGACAGAGCTCAAATAGGACAATATAACTATACTGCTGCRGTGGAGAGATGGGGGAAGACCTTCTTGATTTCTCATCTGTTGGTGGGCAATGGAAACTATACTGCTTTTCACAGGGAACACGTKTTTTGGTGTTTTGGGTCTATGTTCAATCACAAGGATGAGAACAGCAAAACCAGTTCCTGAACTTGGCAGGGCCRTTTGTAAACTGTTGTTGAATGTAAACAAAACAAAAACGGAGCTTGTTCTGGTAATCATGGCCCTTGCTCTGCTATCTTGGTTAATCAAAGCCTACTGCTGCTTCCTGTTTCTAGCAGGAAGTCGTACCTATAATCATTACTACAGTAGCACTCACAGGCATAAGGTATATAGATTGTTTTTTAAAGGGGAACTGAGTCACACTACTACTCTGATGCCTATCTGTTTATTTCCCAGTTTATGCCAAGGCCTGGAGTGGATGACCTCCAGAGCTGGACTCAGATAGCCTCTGGTTCTGCCATCAACAGTCTGACTACCTTCATCACAGCATCATGTCCTTCCTGGCTTATAGTTCCTTTCATTTCCCCTTTTTATGGAACATTGCACCGGCACAGGACAAGCACATGGATGTCCAACGTCGTCGTTGCTTCTCCTGCTGACCAGCTACGAATATTTAGAGACTTGCTATTGGAACAAGCAGTGACTTTTACTAAAGAATGATCTTTTCTCACATTCTACACTACATATCATGTTGCATTACTCCAGATCTCCAGAGCATGTGGAATCCCAACAATGGTGCAACCCAAATCTGGTGTTTATTTTTTTCCCTGTAAGGTTTTTGTTCAGGTCAAAGGGTTTACACAGTATTGTAAAAGCAGCTCTAATGGTAATATGACAACGTTGTTACAGTGCACATTATTTAAATTTTTTTTCTGGTGTTTTGTTGTTTTGTTACATGTTTTAGTT